TGCAAGATATTTAGACGAAGATGCATGTTTTGACTTTTACGTTTTTTTGGAATCCAGAATGTTGTCCCTCCTGTTTGTCTACTTGCCTAATAAAACTCTGTCATCTTTTCATCTACCCGAATGAACGGAATTAAGTGAGGTTTGTGGATCTAGTTGGCAATATCAAGCTTGTTCACCTTAATCGTCTGTGCTCACTAAGGCCAGTTTTTAACATCTATGTGACTGAATCAAACTGTCACTTTAATCTGTTTTTTCTTTGTCTAGTCGACCGCCAATTAAATGAGAAGAGGGCCGCTGTGGATGCGCATGCTTAAGCTTACCTATTTCAAGCACAAAGACGAGAAAACGCGTACCTGATTGTGGGAATTTGTCCGTGCACAAAATATTCTGTCTCATTTCGCGCTCTTATTCGAGGCATCGTATCTGGGCGTAGCCGAAACGGGTAGAGTAGACGCTTGCATATAATTAACTTGTCGCTACCGTAATTTTCAATGCCTGTGTCAGCACCCTGATAGGAGCCCTCGCATTTACGCGCCTAGATGACCGCCTCCTTATAACCAGCTTTGAAGGCCTTGACACCACAGCTGCATTTTTCGTCAAATCAAAAGCATTAGTAGAGAATATCGTGCTCCGTGTCTGATGTGATGAAATTGTTGCAGTTTGTGCTGGGATAGTTCAAAGAGATTTTAGATCAGCTTAAGCCTTTTAAGTTTTCATTTTTTACATTCTTTGACTTTAACTCCAGCTGGCTACACGCTTCACAAAGTTATCGTTAAATTTGGATGAACAAGAGGATCATTTGTGATAATACTTAGCCATTTTACGACAAGCTTTAGGAATTCTATTTAAAATTTAGCACTCAGTGTGATTTCATTTTAAAACTAGACTTGCCCGATAGAGTCATTATAGTGGTTCGACGGCCCTATTTTAAGGATAAAATACTTTAAATGTTGTACAAACGACTCCTAAATTGCTTTAAAATACTACTTTCACTAAAAAAGCAATAAAATTTAACTGTCAAGGCAAGAAATTTTGTTATTGCTAAATGAGGACTCATATCCCTTACGAGTTACCTCTTTTCAATTGTGATCAAATCCATGGTTAGAATGGAAAAATTTTGCAGGAACCTTCCATCACCTGAAATGAAGTACTCCTCATGACATAAATAAAGCTATCAACAAGAAAGTGACTGACGAATTGGCAATACAACTACTGAAGTCGGGTCAGTAACATCTACTACAACCAAACAAATTGGATCCTAGGAATTACCTGTTGTTGCAAACTAAGTGTTGCATTTTTAAATTGTCTCAGCAGTTTTCCTCTCAACCTACCTCAACAAGTTCAATAGGCGACTAGTTTAATGCTTTTCAATGAGTCCCATTTCGCACCTACCCACGTTCCAAAAAATGTAAGTCAGTAAAGTGACATTTTATGCTTCACATCTCAGGTATGCATATGCGATCATAGTAACAAGTTTAAAAACCGTCTGATCTATTAAGGTTCGGCGGTCTGACATGCTTACAAAAGTCATGACACTACTACTGATGAGTCAGCTACCTCAGTGAAATTGTTCCCAACCCTCCACAATGGTTAATTTAGTAAGATTCTCGCGTCGTCTTCACCACTAATGCAGCCGATTGTGCAAGTCTTTAGACTCTAATTATTTCATTTTTAGCAAATATCGTCTGCCTTTGTAAGCTGAAAATAAAACAAGAACATCCGTTTGCTTAGTCTCTTACAGACCTAAAATTATTACTTATAATCGTGCCTAAGCTTAGCTACACCTTAACGTACGATTTAGCAAACTTCACACGTGGTTACGAAAGTGTCACATCGACACGGCCGACCCTTCACCACTGGCATTAGTGACACGGTTGTAGAAGAATTAAGTCTGAACCTCTACTGTCCCCATCCTAAGCTCGCGTTCGTTAACCAGACACGTCTCTTAGCTATCTACAAGAAACTTGTGGGCATGAAAGTACATGAGGAGGTTAAAGTGCCATCCAAGGTAGCCAACTTTAAAAATATACTCGTAATATTTAAGTATTAGCTAAAATCGTACAAAATTTCATCGATCTTGGGTCCACTATTATTGTCTAACTACAGATTCAAAACATGCAATTACACTATACCTCAAAACACCTATGTTAGAAGAGAGTAACGGGTATTATTTGGCTCAATGACAATATAACAAGAGCAAAAAGTTTAATATGGATTTTGATAAAACAAAAACTACTTGATTAAATGACGTTTAGCAGATGCCTGAAAGTGATACCTGATCATACATTTCTAAAACGGATAGAGGCGTTCACTATCTGGCGCTTCGTGGTGCTTGAGTGCTATTATATCAATGCCGTAAATGATTGGCGAGTGATACAACTGAAGATGCCACAGCTGGTCGCCAAATTTAACCTTCAAACTAGGTTAACGAAATTGGAATACTACCTTTACACCGTAGAAACAACCCTTATCCAATTCAGACACCAGCTCGAGCAGCTCTAAATCCTCTGGTACTTGACCGACCACGCATTGGATGTATTCTTTTACAGGAGGTAAAAGTCTCTCCTTCTCCTTCTCTGTTGGAGGTGTCGGAGTAGGATGAAGCAGGTACATCACCAACGAGCTCGATAACTGTTTGAGTAATTATGTGAATGTTTGCGATGCGTATAAACAATTCGAGGATTAGTAAAAGCACTATTTAAACGTTAAGAGCTAACACTAATTTAACAGTTCCGTTTGACATTGCTGTTACTTAAATTTATTGTAATTTATTGTAATTAGATGTTAATGCATTCCAGTGAAGGTGATGGCACTAATAAACAGGTACTAATAAGTTACCCATTGATATAAGTTGGATGCTTCAATCTTTTGTTTTCACAGCAGTTTTGGCCTAAACAAAATAAACTCTTGGTTATGTACTGTTAAAGAGTTTTGCTTGGATAATGCGACGCCGACGTAAATGTTACAGCAGTTCTCCGCTAAAATATTTACTTCCTCTTAGGCCCACTAATGCCACTAATGCCTTTTCAAGGTGCCAATTGCCAGTTTACCGGTACTCGAAGACCAGTAAGCAACCAGGATGCCTAATGGCACGAGTCACTGGCGAATTTAGAAACAAGTGACGTTAACGAACGTAGTGCTTTGTGTGATGAGATGAGCAAGAACATCATATTTTTACATGGCACAGTGCTGACAATGCCACCCTCCTTGGTAAATGTCTCAACCTAAAAATTACAAAACGCATGCAATCTGTAGAGCCACTGCACTAACCAGTTTTAATGTGTGTGACTAAAAGATCCTCTTAGTGCCTATTGAAAACGCATTTGGAATTTCAACGTCTCAAGGCTTCCAGTTTGGTGGCAGGAGAAAGTAGGCATAGCTAACTATTTGCATTCAAGCAGTAATGGGATAGATCTTGCTATGACCTGATCCACAGTCCAGACCACACTGTGGGACTTCTATCAACCGATATTTGTGTCTAGGACCAGGCACATGTAGGAAGAGATTTAGTGTAATGTCATTGCCAACATCTATGCAGATAGGTGAAGGGGAGCAGAGAAACAGCTATGTAGGATAGTACGCAGGGGTATTGCTTTAGTCATTGATATCTTGTTTGTGAACATGGGAATGGGGTAGATTCCAGACGTATACGTTATTCCTAATCCTTCTGAAGTGTAGAAATTAGAGATCCTCCCTCCTGAGATAGTTTACACCTCATATGCACCGAAGGATTATGCCACAAACGATGAAAATCAGCATTGACGTCCTCGCATAGTCGGGATCGCCTTCCAATGCCACGGGTGTAACATCCCCGGTCCCCTATTTTGTGGTAAAACACGCTGGGCATGGCTGAACGCCTGCGTTCGGGCAGAAAGGGTAGGAGCGAGGTTGTGACCTGGCCCGCAAGGCATAAGCAAGATAGCCGTCAAAGTCCGTCATTCATACGGGCAGTCAAGTAAGTAAAGCATTACAAGGGCAACTGAGCTCTGTGCCCGAAGTGCAGTCCAACCACCACCGCCATGAAGGTTAGCATTGCCGAGCTGGTCTGAGGCCGCCATGTCATGACGGCTGTATACCTAGAACAGGTGTACTAGTAGTTGGCAGGCAATGCACATTTGACAAGGTACAGAAACCTCGAAACAAATAATGAACAGCAAAAATGCCACTCCCGCACTAGATACCAAGGCCTACAACAAGAACTCAACTCCAATGACCAGATATCCCTCCTGAACAATACTTGGTTAAATAATCCTATCAACCTCGGAAATATGCAGGCTAGTAACCACCCTTCGTGTCTTGCTTGGCTTAAGAAGTGAACCGTAAACGCAGCAAAAGGTCAAAACAGATCAGCTAGCCGCAGCACCACTATCCGACAGGGGACAGATTCGTAGCATCCACGCTGCTAGAAGCTCTCCACAGACTCAAGTTACTGCACTGTGCTAACGCCTACACTCATGACGTAATAAGTCAAGAGCAGAATTAAAAACTACCATCAATGAGCACTAAACAACCGCGCCGGAGCTGAGCATGTTGATTCCTCCCTCCTTCAGTGTCGATAGTTCTTTCTTACCTTTAAGTTAGTAGCGATGTCCTAGAACAACTGCACTCCTCGCCCAATATCCATCCGTAGAGAAGGGGAGAGAGTTTAAGGAAACCGAAGACGTGCTGAGAGACATACGCAAATGCACAAAGATGTAGTAGAACGGTACAGTGGCGCAGAGATACTCTGAGACACAAAAATTTGTGCATCACTACTTCAATATATGATTTGTCAGCGTACTAGAATTGATTACTCCCTTGTTTATAGCTAGGGAGGACAAATTGTAAACTCCAGGGTAGATGAAATGGTAGAATAACAGTTAAGGAAAAAGTGAAAGTTTGACGCCTTGTACAATTCAGAATTAATTTGTTTCAAATCCAGAAGTACAAGAATAAGGCAATCGAAAAGTCGCATTGCTGATAGAAAAGAATGGAATTCAGTGATAGAAGGATGTTGGTGATTAAAAGTAAGTCAGTGGGTCTCCAGAAGCAGCGACCTTGTGACTGTGCACCTCCATTTTACCCCCGTAGCAAGGCAAAGCTTCATGAACTCGAATATGCCAAACGTTACCACCATGTTCTACCTGTGAAAACAATTACTCCAAACATTGCATCAGCACCTTGAGAAAATGGTTGATTCCATTAACAAGTTGACGACTGACTTCTGTTATCTTAACGTCAGATGGTTCTTGACCGATCTGTTGAGTTATGTAATCCTTTACAACCGGCGTGAGGCGCTGCTTGTCCTCATCGGACGGCTGTACGGAAGCCGACAGACCGCCGCACATCGGCATCGTCGAAGGAACACGAATTGGAAAAGGTCGCGTCGAGTTATACCGATTATAACAATGGGGATTAAAACGCAATTTCGTTAAGGCTACTGTGCTCACTATATTTAGTTTTAAATATATTCTTCACACGCATGTTTTGTGGATTTACACATAATTAATTAAATTTTTAGTTTATTTTTAATGGAATTTTAAGTAGATTAGGGTGTATCAAATCGTTGCAGCCACTTTACCGCTTAAAATAAAGCCCCGAACTTCCGCATAAGGAGGTGACCCTTGAATTGTCTTTACCTAATTACTAAAAGAGAATGAGAAAGGAGCTTTTGCTGTCATTATGAAAGCCAGCTATCGAATAGAGGCAAAGCTCCTGCTCAACTACTGCCACATCTATCATTTATTGAATCAGCTTATTTGCGTATTAAACGATGTACTGATTTATTTTGCCATTTCGAAGTGCACTTAACTTCATCAAAAAAATATCGGTGCTCTTGTAAAATGCCACAAAATTGTCCACAGCTTTCTGTTATTAATAGATGTGTTACGACTTTTATTCCGGGACGTGGATCCTATAGGATGGAATAAGGCAGTAAGTGGGGCTGGATTCATGCGTTCAGAAGAGGACAGAGCAAATGTGTCTGAGCATGGCCCCAAGACCGATCCACGTGTACAGGGGCCAAACAAATCCTATAGTGACCGCCAAACGTCGTGTGATCACATAAACAAAGCATTACACACGTTTCCTCGGTCCCACCGATAGCGATGCTTCAAGTAGGTGTTTAACAGCCCTTTTATCTTACGTTTTTAATCAAACTGATACAAACTTAACGTTTAGTTTATGGCCATTTTTGTGCATAAATTTTACTATCGCCGCATCTCTAAGCCACAGGTCATCGATAAGAACGTTGACACGGATAAATTGACAGCAGTACTATAATTTGTTTAGCTCGCGCTTTCGAATGCATTATATTTTCTGTTCAGACTTTGTTTATCTTTTCGATTGCCTTGTATCAGTGAGCCAAACTACCAAACATGACAGAGATGATGAATATGGTTACTTGGTGCAAAGCATGGGAAACTAATGTTATTATTACTATTTTCGTCATTCTCATTTGTCATTGCGCATGCAGAATAAAAGCTGGATATGTACGACTTTGTTGTTACAGTGGTATTCATTGCCCTATCCTTTGTGTCTTCCCTCCATCAAATGTCCGCTCATTCTACTGCCAGCTATTAGAATAAGTTGCTTTGACTCCTGTCAGGTTTACTGCCCCAAGTCGCCTCTCCCGCGGAGCCTTAGTTGCATGCAGTCTTTGGAGAGCTTGTGCTGAGCCCGCGGAATGCGGGAAAGTGGGCGCTAAAGAGTGACCCATCGGTATTCCGATTGGACGATTTGACTCGAGTAATAAATTACCGGATGCTCGTTTATTGCGTAAAATAGACCACCACTTTTTCTCGCAATAAAGAATTTCTGTAGTGCACCCTTACTAACCTCGAAAAAATGCGCCAATTCGTTATACACACATCCAACATCACCATTGTCTTGTTGCCGCCCACATCAACGAAAGAATTCTGCCATATTGTGGAAAAATGCCGCCAACATGTTAGTATTTTCGCATCCTTTCACGTACCCCATGAATCTTAGTGTTAGTTTCGGCCTTTGATTAGTGAACGAACCTGCATTCACTACTCGCCACCCACCTTTCAATGAGTCCCCACAGGACAACGTGCCTAGCGTGATAGGCGAAGTTGCACGCCGTACATCAGCTACTGACTCCCGAGTTCTGTCCCTCATAGGGAGAGCAAACTTAGTTAAGTGGAGCGGATGGCGAATAAGGTGCCGAAGCACTCCACCCTGCGTACGAACACTATACCTAGCGGGATCGAGGCCTGTGCTTGTGTTGATACTGCGGCTTCATAATCACTATATCTAATCGTTTCGAGTTGTATGCTTTTTTGCTCCTACTGGGTAACAGGACAACGTGGAGCGCTAAAATGAATTGGCAACGTTTGTTTATTAGAATCAACCCTCAATGTAGAAATGAAGTTTTTTTTGACAACATTTTAAACTAGGGGAAGTGTCCCAATCTTCCCAGATCAGATTCCCTTGAAAAACTGTAGAAATAGTCTCAATTTTATTTCCCCCTCATTCCCCATTGTCCATTCACCGACTTCATACTTGGTTCCGCCACTAGGCAGTTGCATGATCGCATGCCAGATAGTAAAGAAAATGGGAACGGTTGTTAAGGTCCAGGAATGGTTGCTGCATTAGGCATGACGTCTTTGGTAAAAGGCAGAAGTCCCTGTCATTTTACTCACTTTTCCCATTTGTAGATTGTAATTTTAAAAACTTGGGCAGGTAAAGCAACAGAAACGTCCTTTACAATTACTTGCTTTTACTAAAATTGAAGCCCGAGCTGCAAATTTGATTTATTCCTGTAAGGGAGGGCAATTGCTAACATTAATTTTGTGAATCTTGTCACGTACACACCTCGACGATGTCATCCGCTGCAAGCTCTTTGCAACTACCGTCCTAAAATTAGCTGCCTTTTCACGTTCTTCACTTTCTACTAAAAATAATTAAGTAACACCCCATAATCACGCAGCTACTCATTTACACATTAGTTGGCGAAATTTGTGTTTAGCTTGACTAAAATAGATTCAAAATGTGGAAATAAAAAAGAACAAAATATGTGCTGGGATCAGGGTTGATGCGTTTAAGTGTGATTAAAACAAGAAGCAAGGGAGTGTCGTTTAATCTGCTCTCGGGCCCTGTCAGCACTTAATCCAACGTGGAACGACAGTTTATCGCCTCAATGGCAGAAACCGAAAGAAAAAACATGTCATTTCGCCTTTGAAGGTCAATGGCTACTGGTAGGTTAAGCGTTGGGATCGTAGTTGTGGCAAATCAAGAGTGATTGAGCAGACCCCACTTAAAAACTGAAATTGGATTTATAAGTGGTTAGAGAGATGGATTTCCATGTTTTCTCATGAGTTATATGGAAATGCACCATTCCGCGTGATGGCTATATGTGCTTGGGTCTAAAACTTTGCCTCGCAACTACTTTTTAGTTCACCTTGGGCCATTTGACGAACACGAATGTCAGGCGGTGAACGGCCTGATGTGAATGGGTCTGTGTGCAGTCATGTGATGGTCGTGATGAGGTGGCAGATGCGTGTTTTTTTAGGCTCCACCAGCATCGCCCAGGTTCCAGTTGATCAACTTTTTGGCGGCTAATCAGCATAAAAGGCATTACAGGAATGGCGACGAACAAATTGGTGGGCGGGACGTGACCTCATCACTCACCTTCTCATGCCGGTGCCACCTATTTTTGTAGTAAATGACTCAACTACTGCGGTAGAAGCTCTTGGCGCTTTGAAATTTCAAAGAGGGGATCGTCTTAACTCACTTTGAGGCCATCTGCAGATTTTTTCTCTTGGAGATGTTCGCTGACCCTTCTCCCTCGTGACTGCACGAGGCCACTCAACAGACTAG